ATTTAAAAATCTATTAGCTCCGCCACAAAACATCATAACATCAATGCTTTAGTAACGTTTCTTTATCATAATATTTTTTAGCTGCTACATTTCATAAACTGTAGACAAAATAAAATATAGAAATTGAGATCAGTGTTTTGTTTTTGTTTTTTTTTTTACTGATAAACATTTTTCTCTAGTTTTAAGTGCCACTTTGCTCACTAGTTGAACAAAATAATAATGATTTCTTAAGGGTTTTCACATAAAAACTCTTTTTTTCTACACCTTATTTAGTTCAAACATATGTTTTGATCAAAGTTCTTCACAGTGTACGAATGTCGAATTTTGGATGGATTAAAAGTCGGATATGATAGTCCAAGTTCTCATGAAGACAATGAGTAAATATAAGACAACAGACGTAAGGCCTTGGATCTTAGCCATGTGCGAGACACGTGGTGAAGAAGAAATGAGCCAAATGGCTATTGTGAGAAAGCTGAACACAAAAGAAACTTTACATATCTAGAATTTATAAAAAATATTGATTTTCAAAAGAATTATAAACTATTTACTATTCTAAACTACTGTTTAGTGTTTACTGTTTAGTCTTTCTTTGTGTTCAATTTTTTTTTCAAACCCCCAAGGTTCTTTTAGACAATATGTTTAACTTGATAACTTGATTTAACTTAAGGCTTTTGTATTTCTAAAGTGATGATTATTTATATTTATTGCTTTTTGTCTTAGAAACTGACATTGCCATTGTAACACTTATTAAAAAAAACTTCCTGCAGGCCAGAATATTTTACTTCGGGTCTGGCCAGGTGAAAAAATGTTGACCCTTGGGTTTCGGGCAAAAATCGGGTTAATTCAAAAGACAGGATTATTTATTTATAAAAATCATAATTTTATAAAATTTTGGTCCATAAAATATTATTTTTTTTTTTTTTATTTTTTTTTTTTTTAAAGAGGTTGGCGGCCTCTTTAAACATTATATCCTGTGATTGCAAATTTTAAATGTCTACTGCAGTCACAGAACTTTAACTTTCACACAATCTTTGCAGATGCTTTCTGCGATGATATCTTAAAAATAAAAACTCCGCTCGATAATCGAGCCGCTTCCACAACTCTTAGTGACCGAACACAAGCTTCGCTCCATTATTTTTAGTATAGCAACCCAAATATTGTGGAGGCCCCGCAGACTCCTATTTTTCATAATTAATTATAATAAGAGGAAGAAATAAAATAACTAATGGGTTTGTGATACATTTAATGTAACACACAGAAGGTAGGTAGTGGACCAGCCACTGCATCACAGTCTTATTATATGTTACAATACTCACTTCTATACTCCCAACTATCACAACCGCACCACTAATAGAAAAGTAGCTCTGCACACACTGTCATTTATACAGCCCAGTGTGTCATGTAATCGTCAGTATTATTATAATGTATGTATTCCGTTTGAAAAATCCACAAACAAAATATTTGCTTTTTGACAACACAAAGAAAAGTTAACGAGTAAAATATAGTCTTACATAATTTACAGAATAAAGTAAAAGTGATGCGTTTCGCTAGAGAAATGTTTACAAAATAGCTTTTTCTAATTCTAATTGTGTTGCACATTCAGTTTAATTAACTTGTTTCAGTTAACTTTGGCTGATAACAATCCTATTTGATCTTAAAAGTAAAACAAAAATCAAGTGAACACAAGATATTTTACTAACTATTTGTTTTTGAGTATTTGAAGAGAGCAAAAAACCTGTGTTTGTTGTTGAATTATAAACTTACTTTGAGTATTTACTTATTTACAAAAATATGTTCTAATTTTTATCTTTATTAACTCTTTTATTTACTACCTAGACTTTTTTGCATCAATACACTCAACAATATTTACAATAGTCGGGACCACGACCACCTGCGGTTGGCATCAGCCAATCACAAGACAAGGCTAGTGTGACGTTGCCATGTCGCCCGTTGACGACACTTATTAAAATACTAAATAATATATTTCAAATCAGCTGTTATTATTAGATTTGGCAACACCGCACTGTCCTCATTGGCTTCTTCGAAGTCACGTGGTAAATAGGCTCCTCCCTGGAAACTTTCGTGGTCCCGACTATAGGTAAATAATAATAGTAAAAAAAATCTTCCAAGAATATTTTAAAGAGAAAATTAGTTATTTGCATTGAAAACGATCATGATAGCCTTTGTGAGATAGTGTAGTAAAAGTTATTTACAAATTTGTTCTTTTATAAGTTAATCATGCATAGGGAAATCTATGTTGCAAAACTCAGTATGGTTACAATGTAACACTTACAATAGTCTTGAATAAACATTGTTACTGAGGTATGTTCTAATAATGTTACGTTTCTCCCACTTTTGAACCTTGCACTGAGATATAATTCAGTTTTATATCTTCTAAATTCTCTACGGTGGTCACAATTGAAGGGCTCATTTAATCGAGATTGTTGAATCTAATGAAAGTAGTTTTGTAATTATTGTAATACATTGCTGTAGATTGGTTGTGCAGCAGTTCAGATTCATGGAAGGATACAAATTAAGTATTTAACATTTTAGGAAGTTTAAAAAATACCACCAAGGACCATTTCTACCTGAACCTTTTTATGGAGAAACCACTGTACATAATTTATAAGAAAATAGAGAGGAATGAGATCAATATTTTAAGTGGAAAGTTAAGGATGAAATATCCAATTTGTCCTTAGAAAATCAAATTTATACTGTATTGTGCAAGATTTTGACCAATAAATTTAAAAAGCACTTTAGTGCCGAAGATAAAGTTATTTATATCATGATAAACATCTAACAACAAATGTAAACACAGTAACATCCTGAGAGGGGTCTGACTCAAGCTTCCTACAATTATTTTTAGACATTAATAAATACAAAAATAAAAATGTACTTAGTCTTTAAATATAAGTGGAAATCAATATCTTAAAAATATAACAAGCCACTCAGCAATGTAACTAGTGTTTAAGACATGAACATATCCAACGTTTAAGCTTTTGCTAAACAATCGCTTCACTATAGATTACATAATAATGTGTTGATGTAACAAAATATCCATGGAAATAAAATAGCTGACTTTTATTAAACACGCACAATAATTTTAATAATGATCTCTGAAAGGGGAACACAAAAAAGGTTAGCTGCCACACCTTTTTTGGTCACTTTAAAACATGTTGGAAGATTACGTAAACATCAAATTTTCTTAATACAGTAGCACAACAATTCTAACTGACAGTTAATTAAATCGTTATGATAACGGTTAATATATAGAACTTGTGAAACAAAACCGACACTGCACTTTTGGAGGACCCACCTATTCATTTAAATTCACATATTATGTAACAGGAAAGATTTTCTTCATTTTACAAAAACCTGCCTAATTAAAATTTTCAAAAACGGTTAGGATGATTCTGTATTGTTTAAAAAATAACTTTACAACTCGTAACATCAACTAAATTTATCAAGATATTGATCATACCTATAGCCGTAATAATACCAGCAAAAGCCCTTACCACCATTTTATTTTTTTAACCTACTCATGTCTTAAAAAATAAAAGCTATGGTTGTAGATTTGTAGAACATGTTAAGGAGATACTAAAATCCATACAAATCAAATCAAATTGAATCAAACCTCTCAAAAGATAATAAAATTCATCATGCTAAATAATAAAGTTATATATTTAAGACAGCCTCATCTCAGACTGTTACATAATTTAATAATCAAACAGATAAGAGGCAATCATTACAACCTAACCTAAAGAGAGTTATTCGACAGTAGTTAAACCTCGGAGTAATTTTTATAAAGTTTTTACAACATGACAATGTTTCATAGCTTGTAGCGATGTTGAAATGCATAAGCAAGTACAGTATCAGCAAATAAGATCAACTGAGAATCAGTACTAATTAATCAAGCAATAATTTTATTAATTGATTTCAAGTTATGTTTTAAAAGTATCAAACGCAAGAGTGTAACTGAGTTGGTTTCTCTGTCTTTATACAAAGAATGGCTCATTGGGAGTGTTTCAAAATATTACGGCGTGTTAAATGTATAGTGTCCAAAATATACAAACAAAAAAATTAATCTTGTCTTTGGTATTGTGCCTCCAAGAGGGAATCCGCTACTCGGATATTACTGGTAGAAATGTCTGTAGGTGTTAAAATTGAAACAATATAACTAACACGTGTAATACACCTACAGGCATAACTATCAGTAATTTCTTTTAATCAGTATTTAATCACTTAAGCCGCTCGCACTACGACTACAACTCATGTGGCATTGAATTACCTACTAGGATTTGGACTTTAAAATAAAATGTTCTTTCATTCTTGTTTCAGAAGAACAAAAGTGTCCAATAACATTACTTTTTTATATTTTGTGTAAAAGAAGTAAAAGTTGTAAATGAAGTAAGTACAACTCTGCTGTGGAGATTTCATATTTACAAATAGTTAAAATATTTACAATTGAAGATTAATCAGTGTGGCAGATTGCGTGTAATAAATATAAAGGTTACTTACAGTCTTCGCAATCCTGTTAGTTGAGCACTACGGCCGTTTCGGAGATAACTCCATCGTCGGGTGCGTAGTCATTATACACTAATCTGAGCTATTTACATATTTACATTTCTTACGTGGTTTCTTCATTTTCATTGCGTCAAAGTTAAATAAATAGTACATACAACACAAAACACGGACACGACACGAAAACATTAAGGCACGTGCACGGCTAAAAACTGACGACCGACTCAGTTTTATACCCAATATTATATTACGGTCATTATTATACCCAATATTACGAGTCGGTCGTCAGTTTTTAGCCGTGCACGTGCCTTAATGTTTTCGTGTCGTGTCCGTGTTTTGTGTTGTATGTACTATTTATTTAACTTTGACGCAATGAAAATGAAGAAACCACGTAAGAAATGTAAATATGTAAATAGCTCAGATTAGTGTATAATGACTACGCACCCGACGATGGAGTTATCTCCGAAACGGCCGTAGTGCTCAACTAACAGGATTGCGAAGACTGTAAGTAACCTTTATATTTATTTACAATTAATTTAAATATGAACCCTCAGGAGTGTGGCAATTACTTTTTTGTCACTCACACTTTACTTTGAATGATAATCGATGTAGCCTATCAAATTATAATACAAAAATGTGAAAATTGGGGTGTGCAGAGTATAACTTAAGATTAAACATACTCCCTTAGTATATTTCTCATCCTTATAGAACAGCTGAAGCCAATTTTATTGTTAGTTTTGTATGCTGCATTGTAGAGGTAATGTTTTGTTTACAATTTGTTTCTTGTTATTTCAGTCATTTAAAACTTCGTTTAACCAAATAAAACCATCTAATCATAAACAATAACTGGTCTCCTAACCAAACGGTAAGCATAAATTATAAAAATAACCCTAAAATAATAGAAAGGAAATTTCGTCTACACTAGTGATCAGTGTCGACGTACATGAACTAGACACGAAAAACGAGCTTCAAAATTTACAATGGGATGAGGAGTCTACTTGTGTTGGTTAGTCTATGGTAGAAAGAGTCGCGAGCACCACAATAACGGATATGATAGGCTTAGATTGTGGCAGAGTGGTGAAAGAGTCGCTTAAATACCTCCAGGAGACACAAACTATTGGGCTACAAAAAAATATTAAAATAAAAAATACAATATTGGGCACAAACTATAGTCAAAGCTCTTACTTTTTCACTAACGATGGTTTGCTGGATGGCAAGAACGTAAAATGTCAAAGCTTTTAAAATTCAAGAATGAATGATTCTTCAAAATATTTAGACAGTGTATGTACAAAAGCAGTTAATAATCTATAAACCAATGACGGGGGTGTTATTCTGTTTTGGGACAAAATACTTTATTTTTTGTGATATTTTACTAGAAAATTTTAATTGTAGGCCTACCATACCTCAAGTGATTAGAGCAATATGTGTAAAAAAAATTGTTTTGCCAGAAAACTAACATTTTTTTACGTTAGCCTCATGATGAATCCTAACATTGGTGAAACTTAACATGTCAACAAAAATGTTTTATTTTAGCAACTTTACCATTCTGGAATCATTAAATGAAAATCAAGTCCCAAATTATAGCTTAAGTAACAAGCCTATCCAATAATTTTGGGAAATGAGGAATTACTTAAGTTAAACCTACTGTACAGAAAAATAAGTTATTAAATATCTTTTGCTATCCAACTGAAGAAATTTTAATTGCTAATTATTTGAATCTCCAATACAACGTATCATCCGACACATTCTGAATAACCCAGCTGGGACTGAGATATCGCGTCAACGGGAGAAACAATTTTGATAGCACCGAGAGAATATTTACAAATTAACTATTTATATGACGAGTTAACTACTGTCCGTGAACTTTTCATAGATTAACAGGACTAGACATATATTGGGCATGACGTGGAGCAAGTATGGGAGAAGACCTTTGTAAAAGCCCCTCGTTCCTTCGTACCTCCAAGTCTGGTCCACGCAGTCCCACGTTCCCTTGTACACGCGGTGTTGGTCTTGTAGACGAGCTCGCACCACCTGGTACGGATATGTCACAGCCGCCGCAAACAGCTTGGAGAGAGCGGCGAAGGTCAGGTACTCGGCAGTGCCCTGTAACATACAGTCAGCTGTAGCCTACGTGCAAACAAATTGATGATATCTCTTTGTAATTACAAGCCTGTATTGGGAATTCATATTCAATTCAATTTATGTATTCAATACAATCAAAATGACAAAGGGCATTTTAACACTAAGCTACATAAGCCTTATAAAAGGCTTGTCCATAGCATTTCTTAATTTGACTTGTGTCTTTTTGATGCGTCATGTTGAGTCAGCCATAATTTAATAGTTTTCCCAACCTAAACAGTAACAAAATCGATAATCTATCCTTATATATAATGCGTGAAGGCGATTTCTACAAAACACTACTCCTCCGTTAATAATGGACGGATTTTTACAAACAACATGTCAAAATAAAGCATTTTTTGTGTAGATGCCCCCTTTCACCAATTCCTGTAATAATAATCCTTGGGCTTTACCCCACAGGCCATCAAAGTTGGAGTTTCTCCCATAAGATTAACATGGGGAATGTAAATATTTAATGGGAAACTTTGTCCCCACTAATTTGAGAGAACGGCTGGGCGTAGAAACTTGGTAGGGGTGTCCAAAGAAAGGTCTTGGTCTGTAGATGAGTTATCAAAAGAAAAACTAAGCAAAATCCCTTAGGACTCTGCCCCAGAAGCCTTTAAAGATCCCTCCACAGAGTTGTTTACATTTTGGCCATGTGAATATTACTTTTTAATGAAACAGCTGTTCATTTTAAAATTGTATTTCAAACAAGACACATTTATTGGAAGTTACTGAATTCTACCAAATAAGTATTTGCAATGTTATTTTCTGATTATAAAATTGATTTCCTTCTTTATAATGTCATGTTTTGCAATATAGCATTCCATTACGAAATCAGTGGAAAATCCTTTTATCACAGCAATTATTAAATTTTTCTTATTGAACTATAGGCTATCTATTGTACGGGTTGGCGTCTACCTTTTTCACCACTTTTGCCTACATTTTATCATATTATTCTACACATAGGTCAAATATTTATGTAGAAATAACTTATCGTGTCTAATAAAATCCAAACATAGAAACCTCGCCTAAAATGGTACCAATCTTGACAAACTATTTGCACCTGCCTATATTACGGACTTTGGCGCACTGGGTTGGTAACATTATTAAAAATAACACAACATTTTGGCTGTAAAATATGGTACAAAGAGAAAATACTATTTAAGCAGCTACTGTCATGACAGAAAGGTTATATTCCTTTTAAACTAGATCTATGAACTATGAAGTAGGAGGCCCCTAACAGTTCAAGAATAAAAGCCAACTTCACTTCAAGTATTCCACTACACCTAACATTCCATAGAGAGATTATATTGACAACTTTATGTCATTGATAAGGCTGAGACAACTAACTGACATCCCCCATGTCAAGGAATTCCAGCTTTAACAGTAACCCTGTAATCAATTTTTTTAAACTATGCTAGAGGGTTCATTCATTGACACAGAAGTACGATAAGAACTGACGCGATGTGACGAAGGAAAAACCAAACTTACACTGTAACGGATATACCTACCTCCCTTTGAAGTTAGAATATGTCTTCCCAAAAAATATTTTATTTTGAAATAAAATCATATTACACTGATGAAATCACGGAAGTGTTTAACCACAAAAGATCCACCAATATGATTTTAAATTTACTATTTAAAGGTTCTTCCAAAGGAAGAGATACCATGTAACATACTAATAATAACTCCGATGACGTACGGTATGGGGAATATTTTATGCATCAAATAATCAACCAAATTTAGCAACTAACGCAATTAATATCATTATTGTTTTTACACTTATTAGTACACTTATGAGTACTGTAAACACCTTCCCGTTTACTTTTTGGCACACTTCCAGCAACAATAACACAGGAAAATTAAACTACAACCCATAAATACAACCACAATACAACACTGTTTAATATAACACTTAGCCTACTATTTTAATACAATTTTAAAGAATTATTGTCAAATGTTTTTAAATGTAGAGTTTTCCTTTCCAATATTTATTTGTGAAAGTGGAACTTGAGCCTGGCCAAACCTGTTGAATACTTTTTGTGAAGCTTCGTTTTGAATTAACTCATTTTTATTTTTATTTGTCTTTATCTACATATTTGAAATGTTAAATGTTTTTTGTAAGGGAACAATTTAAAACCTGCACTTTTTACTACATAGCATTGACCTTTTCGATAGATATTTCCATTAATTGATAGCCGATGACGAATGGCATCAGAGTATGGAAACAATCTCGCTTGGAATCATACCAGCGACCTTCAGATTTACGCGGCTGTTGGCGAGGCCAAAAACCTTTTGGGTCGGAGTGGCCGCGTAGGTAAGAGTACTCACCATTTTTGCATCGATGGGCATGTGTCGAGATTTGTTGTACCAGTTCTTCATCTCCTCGTACGTCATAAACTGTAAAGCTCCGTGAGATACTCCGAGCATTCCTGGGATAAACCCCTGCGAACACAGCATGAGGTTAGAACATGTACTTGTAAATACTATATACGTATCAGTTAAAAAATCATTGCTGTTATTCAACTTCATTTCTAGGTATTGTAAAAATTTCAGCAAAAGTAACATGTAATATTTTTTATGGTTTTAAATTAAATGGCGACCATACGAATGTAGGTATTTTAAGCCAAGTATGAGTGTAAGATCAGATCTTGTAGTCTAGTTACTGTCTAAGTCTGCCATGTTCCTTAGACATGTAGCCCACTTGAACCCAAATCTTGGTTGGCTGACAATTTCATTGAATTGTTTAGTGTAAAATCAACATTTAGTTGGTAGTTTCATTGTTTTTTACAATTATTATTAGGGTTTTTACTAACTCTCTAAAATAAAAATCCAACACTCTCTGAGAAATTTTGTTATAAGACGTTTGTAGTTTATCCGTCAAAATAAATAAAGTTACTTGAATTTCAGAATACTACTAGATGATCAGTAATAATTAATAGGCCTACGGGTAACTAAAATTATAAGATTGGATAAAATTCACTGCACAGATAAAATAAGAAAGAACAAATATGTCTAATTAAAATAAACGAATATCCTGATCTTTTATTCTTTAAAGCTACCTTTGAAGAAGCCCCGAAATGGACAAATTATCAGTTTAATTTGTAACTTTTATGTGTTCTATTAACCTCCTGAGACTCTTTATACAGGTGAGTTGGATGTGTATCCTCCCTTTCTCCTTAACAATAATTCTAAAGCCAAGTTGCTTTTTTTCCTTAAAAAAACTATGATAATTTTGTATGATCTATAATCAGATTAGCAACCTTGTATAGTCCCCGAACACCCTCCGCTTTGTAGATCTTCTTGAGAGCGTCCACCATGCCGTAGTACTGCTGGTTACTGGACACGTCTATTTCCCGTCCATATTGTAGGCATAACCTGTAACATAAACAACAAATAAATTTGATTTGTAGAATTTGTTTTGATTGGCCCAATGAGAACAAGCTGTGACAAATAGGCTATTGCAATCCTATACTATCAGGGGAGCCTATAATACAAGTTGGTCATATGGCAAAGCGAGGGGGTTTAGAATCCGAGGTTCAAGGTACTAACCTTGCCAATCAGGAAATAACATGGAAAATACTAGGAAGCCTAGGAGGTGTGAGAAGGACATACAAAGTATATCAACATTAAACTAATTACAACAATACAGTAATTTATTTATAAATGTTAAATAAGTTTCAAAAGAAAAAAAATTAAAATAGCTTAGAGCTTGCCAAAAACACAAGCAATTCCAACAACTGATTTGATTGTTAAAATATTGTATATTTCTTTATGTACAGGTTAAGTGTAAGAAATGACAATTGGCCCAACTTTACCTGTAATAATTTTTCATTTAATTTTTTTTTCATTTCAATTTCAACCAAAAAGGATAAGATATTTAGAAATATTTCCCAGATTCAGCACACAAATTGAAAATAGTGGAGAATGAAATGTGGCCTAAAATGAAAGGGATAGACGATTAAAGACAAGGAATAATCAAGGCACAGCTAAATATTTTCCACAACAGTCAATACCAAAATGCCCAGGTTCTTTGGATGGTGATTGTGACTAGCCGAGAACCACTTTGAACGATCTTCAATTTACATTTAGCATATTGGTTCAAAAATATTCTTCGAAGGTTGCAAGGTTGTTTGATACTGTACTTTAATACTTTCAATTGAAATGACGACCATACAAAGGTAGGTATTTTAAGCCTAGTAAGAATGGTGATGAGTGTAGGATGAGTGGTGCGCAATCTTGTAGTCTTGTTAGTGACTAAGGCTGAAATATTCCTTAGACACAGCTGTTATTGATAGCCCATACAGCCAATGGTAACTACAGGACCTTCAACTTATACAGTAGAGTCCCGCAAACTCGGCGCTCGATAACCCGGCAGTCTGGATAACTCGGCCATCACCTGGCTCAGAAAATTGGTGATTTTTTGAGTCTGAGTTAAACATGAACTCAAGCCAGCTCAAGTCAAATCATTCTCAGCTCGTACAAATGATTTGTTTTACTATATCTGATGACTTAATACTAACTTGTAATCCTACTAATATTATAAAAGAAGTAGTTAATAAGATTAAAAATTGTATTGTTCTTGTTTTTAACCCTAGTTCCCGATAACCCGGCATTTCACAAACTCGGCACCCTTACAGTCCACATTACGCCGAGTTTGCGGGACTCTACTGTAGTGGAATCCAAACCATATTTTTGCCTTGTGATTTAAATTATCAGGACAGTACTGCGGATAGTCATAACCTCAGTGCGGGTGTAAATCTACACCTCATCAGCTTTTCAGAGGTCAAAAGATAATCTGACAATATGAAAAGAAACTATATTGGTCTAAAGAGTTATCACAGTCGTTGTTTACCTCGTCTTCACCACCCACACCGGGTTGGTCATGGCCAGAGTCAGTACTCCGGCCTCGGCTGCCGCTACCATGTGCATCGTCGGGCCCAGCGGTGTTTTTGAGTTTCCACCTTGGATCCAGTTCTTGATAGAATTATAACTGAAACATATACAGCTTCTTCAGTTTATGAGGTTTAACAATATTTAAAGCATGACAGTGGCTTTTAAGGTTGAATTTTATGAACAAAATAATTTAAAGTTAGAATTGTTAGTTTAAAATTTTTTTAAGAAAAACTTTATTAGGCTACATGCAGTTTTCTCACTACGATAAAGAACTTAACCAAACTGAGCTCAGAAGATAAATATATATCTTTATTAAGTTTACCGGTTGTATAATTCAATAAGTCTTTATTTTTCTTGAGGCGGGCAAACTAGGCTGATGAGGCCATCCCTACTAAGTTAATGAAGCAATTTGACTGACAGCTACACCAAACTTGCTCAATAAATCTCCCCTCTTTTAATCTTATAGCCCCCTCATCACTTTTAATCAGAAGTTTAAATAAAATTTTTGAGATGGATTCCTTACGGTAACAAATCAAAACAGTAAATAATTAATTTTGCCAAAGCACATTAAAAAATGAACAAGCAAGTGTATCTAGGTAATTTCTTCCATTTCAATAAATATATTATTGTTATTTACTACTAGTAAGGCTTTTTATGTGAATATAAGATATACTAGCTTGATGTTTCTCGACTGTTAGACTTTGGGCAGAGAGAATAACACAAGAAGAAAGTAGCCAAGAGTAGCTATGCCCTTGTCTTAGAGAGGAAAGTAATGTATAAAAACAACTACATTAAACAATAAATTAATCTTTTGTACAAAGCTCGTGAAGACCAGAGAAATGCAAATGATTTAAGTAGTATGGTTTAAACCACACCTACCGATGGTGTGATAAACATGTTTCATTGTAATAATGAAGTGAGTTATTTGTTCCAAGTGAGCACACCAAAATGTAAACTTGTTATGAAAAAAGTGGAACAGTTCAACAGTTTGGTGCCCTGACAACTGATAGGGATCAAGTTGTTTTATAGTTTAATTTTTTGCACGAGGGTTTATACAAACCCATCAGACAATTAATTGCATTACATAATTTTTTTCCTCAAATCAATGTAAAGTAAAGAATTCTTCTAACCTTGACATTTCTAATTTTTTGTTTATTTGAAAGACTGGTTTTAAAAGGTTAGAGCCAAACTAATTAATTTTTAATTTTCACAACATAATTTAATAAGGGTCTTTGAATTTGTTATAAGAAGCATTTCAGTTTTGTGCAACATTGGACTATTTTAATCAAATTTATTAGCTACTTGAGATCTATTTTACTTTGTAAAAACTAAAAACTTTAAAATTCGGTAAGGTACATAAAATCATTGTATTTTTTGTAGTTGAGGGTTTTTAATTAGGTTATTTAATTTGTTATTCATGTCACATTTTAAAATAGTTTACAGAACTAACTAGGAGCTTCTTCAATTTTATTAATTCCAAGATTATGAACTGGAAAATTATCAGCCTAGACTTGAACGTAGGTAGTTGAGTGGGGTCTAGAATAATGTGCTATTGAAACGTATTTTCCAACTTAGCTGTATACCAATAAATACAAAGAAGCCGATTCTTGAGTGGATTGTTATTGAAATGTGACACTATAACTGAACCAGACTGTACTTTTGCTTCTTCTCTCTCACAATAAAAACAACTTCAAGTGTATTTCTGTAGTTCACAATATTATTTATCTCTGTTTTCACGACAGTAGAGGAATTTACCTTGACTTTTGATCTTAGTGGATTATTTAGCTTAATTTTCAAACCAGTCCAAAATTAGTTAGTGTTTGAAACCACCATAAATATTTGTCTCACCAGTTCAGAGGCAAGCCTCCTGAATGAGTATTTTAAACTTAGTACTGTACAGATCACAATAAGGTTTAATGTTCATAAATAATAACCAAAAGCGTTTAACAACCATTTAATACTTTTAAATAGTTACTGGTCTTTATCTAAATCCATCTAATTCATCCCGTTCAATAACAAAATTGTGATAGTAAAATGAAAAAATGTTTTTGCTACACTACTATGAAATGACCTGTTTTCGTTGCTTGTTTATCACCTGCCAAAAACCATTATTTCATTGTTTACTAAGCGAAAGTAATGTTTACTATCTTTTTTGGTTTTTGCCGACGTAAACAAATAAATATTTGTTATTGTTTTATCAACTGTTTCAATTTTCAACAACTAAAGTAAATATTAACTTTAAATTGAAGGCATAACCTAAAAAATGCTATGAGAAGAAAATAATTATTCCTTGTAGTGTAGCGAAAAGTAACGTCCAAAACACAAGTAAAAGTGGGTCTATACATATTCTGGACCATTTGAAGTGGTCTCAAATATGTAATGACTCATTTTTTACTCTTGTTATGAAATATACTATTTTTGTTTTACTCACAATGCGTTCACCCGCAATTATTACCTTGTATTAAGTTTGCAATGCAAAAATGTAGTGTTAAGCAGCAATTGCTGTTCAATTAGGCTAAACATTCAACTTTTTAATTAGCTTAAATCAATTTATTCGATTCAATTAAAATGTATGATCATGACCATTTTCTTGCAAAATTATAGCAAAATGCCACAGACCTTGATTGAGAAACAAATATAAATAATTGTGACCACCAATTTATACAAGCCTCTTGCAAGTTACATTCAAAAACTTTATTTGCCTGAGTTTATTTTCAGTCTAGGTTTGATTTTAATTGGATTACAACTACTGACTATAAAAAATTGGAAGCATCGTTAATTGGTTGATTAGTCAGTTTCTGCTACGTCGTTGAATTAGTTAATAGTCAGTTGTTTAAAATATCTTATCAGCCAATGAGCTGGACTAGGTTCTAATACAACGATGCTTTTCTTTAATAAACAAGTCTGTAAAACCCTGTAAAATAAAATTTATCCAGAAATAATAAGTCAAAATGCATAGGTTTTGGTTCATTTAAAAAATGATACTTTTGCCTTAATGGGCTTCCTCAGTTAAAGTTTAGTACAAGTGGTGTTTTTTTTTTTAATATAGGCTATAAGTGTTTTACATGCAGTGATTCATTTAATCAATATGAGTTTAACTTTTGATACATCGTAAAGTATATCTTTAAAATCAGTTTATTATTTTTAATTCATCCCATAATGAGTAGTACATTAATGAAAATTACTTTCGGGTTATATTGAATCACTCTTAAATTTTGAATATAATTATGAAATGAAAAAGTCTCAAAATAGACCTCAAGTGGTTGAATACAAACATATCCACACAATAAATTCAACAAGACAAACTCTCTGTTAATTTCTTCAAACAAACATCAGATTCAACAGATTCATTATTAGTCTTCAGAACAATACACCTTGTCCGACACACTTCACAGTAAGAAAAATTCAGCGATTCTATTAGACTTACAACAAGAAATAAAATCCCCAAGCACTTCCGGATCCCCACACGTTTGGTGTGACCCCTTTGTAAAGACCTCTTAGGCCTTCTTGTTGAAAGATGGTGGTGACAGCGTTTCTTAACCCGTGGTATTGCGGCACAGGCGTCCGCCCATCGTTGACTGCAATAAAAATTGTCACCCAAAAATCCACAAAACAATGGTTTACAGTTCTACATAATTGCACCATAGGTAACAATCATCATTAGTCCTGACATCAACAGCCAAATTTAGGTTGTCAGGGTTTGATGAAAGTCACAGCACCAAGACAACTACTGAAAGTGATCAAATATTATGAATCAGTTTTGTAGCCAAACACTGCAAACCTTTTTTCAAAACCTTAAAGATGATTTCATATACGTAATAAAACTACAACTAACACACTAGCTGCAATACAGGGTGTTTCAAAATAAATAGGCTACTAGGAGATTTTACGAATAATGATTTATACTGAATGAAACTTGTAGTTATAAATAATTATACATTTAAAAAGAGCACCTTACTTGATGTCAAAAAATAATATGTACAGCTACCTGATATGATATTGATCCTACCTAAATATACAATTGAATCATTTTTACAGCCTACCAAGTATATACAGATATTAATAAGCGTGGCCTACAGAATCTGACACCTACCATCCATTAAGGGGTCAATGTTAGAAGCATTGATTTGGTTTTTTTTTCATATTAAAAGAAGTTTTTCCATCTTTAACAAGTTAAATTTACCTCTATAAACAAACGTAAACAAACATTTATTTCCTAAATCAATCAACATAAAAAACAAATTTCATATTGTTATACTAATGTTAAACACAAATGGAACGCTAAGTGTTCACTATGTGGTGTAAGGTCTACAATTATTTACATGTCTGGAATATGTTCATCTATTTACCATAACAAGCATAGTTAAGTTAAGTGTAGCCGCGTGGACAAAATGTTATGTTATGTGTAGCTAATTAATTGTAATTTTTGTAAATTGTGATTTTTATAAAACCAACATAGACCAAGCCAAAATTGGTACACAACTCTTGAGAGGTGACTTCACAGAGTTTTCTTCAAGACGATTGTATTTTAGTCAAAAAATTCTATTATTTCATGTGATACATGACTGCCAACTGGCAAATCGACAGTTGTAGTTAAGTAAAAATACCTTAATCACAACTTTTGATTCTATGTATCGTCATTGCACTCTTAAAATCCTCCACCCCACTACCCCTTACACTTAACCTATTCGGAATGTTAAGGATCACATGAAATGGACATCGCCACCGTTAAGGCATATCACCTCTTAAACCTGCATTTCCTGAAGTTAGGTCCTCGTGTCACCTCTTGTGTTTTGTTCTGTTATTATTTAATTGCTTTTTATACTCTAATACTCTACTACATTTATACTCTACTACTTTATACTCTATAACTTAAGTGTTTTATTTGTATTTAAGTCGTTAATCTGTATATACCTACATACGTATATATTTACACTGTTTGTCTATAGTTCTGTTACTCGGAAAGAAACTTTGATCAGCTCTCATGAAAGGATTTAAATCAAGTAGGCTAATTTTTATTTGAAAGTGTTTAAAAACTCAAAACATATTTCTTTTGAAACACCCGTATATTGCAAATGAAACAGTTTAAGGATACAATAAATAGGCCTCTAGGCTAAATATATTAGTAGGAAGAGTGGTTCTCTTAATGTACAGTAGGCTAATCTATAATATAACAGAGTTGACTGCTTGAAAATGCACTTAAAATAAGATTAGATTACATTTCCTATAAGATATGATTAGATCACATGTTTACGTTGACACACCATGGTGCGTACGGTATTTTAAGAATATTAATAAAATAATTTGGACCTACTTTCTAAACAAGACCTTATATACCTGGAATATTATGTAAATTAGCATTGCTGGATAGAATTTAATAGATAGTAGGGCAGATTATACCTTATTCATTGGACAAATTATAAATTATAGTTTGTTGACAGTAAGGTGGGGAAGTGAAAAGCGAAAATACAGATTGTAGGCCTAGTCAAATTAAATATAGAAAAGGCTAAATTTTCATTAGAGGCTAAAAGCTGATCAATTAACCTACAAATTAATATCAACAAAATAAAGCAAACAGCTAGGGGATTTTAAGATGAGTTTGTAGGTAAAAGATGTATAGGTAGCCTAATGACCCATTTTGAAGAGTTTCCCGTAGGCCTATTTTCAATACTAGACCTATTTTTTCCTATTATGAAAATATGACCCAAATTACACATTGCTCACATGTAAGTATTTAAGTTCGGAAAGAGAGAAGGAAGTTATTGTATGCAAGCCATGACAAAAAAATAAGCCTGATGCTGCATAGGCAACAACGTTCACAGGCTTGAATAGTTCAAAAGGTTGGTTGTGGTACCTCCTGACTTAGTTTTACATTAATTCAATAATAGGCATAGTAGGCCTGGTTAAGGTTAAGTTAGTGTGCTCGTTTACTGCACAGATTTACCCCAGTTCAATCCTGAAGTAAGGCTGTTCGATGGTTTAAAACAGTATTCCAGCTGTTCACCTAAACTTTTATGACGACAACCAGGCTGTGTGTTTTTTAACATTTAACGGTTGCTCATTAGGGTTTTCTGTGAGCAATAACTCACTATCAGTTCATGAGAAAGATTGTTGTAAATGCTAATAATTATTTGTTATTGCTCAGAGAGAGAGAGAGAGTACTGGATGCAGCTGTCCAGTATTATTGGGATTTTCACAAAGGCAGAGGATATGCATCCGGTAACCGGACGTGGATTAGGCGTCCAGCAGTTACCATCATAACCTAACCTAACTAACCAAACTTGCTGATGATGAAAAATCAAATGAAGTTTAAATTCTGTTCATAACATAAAATTATAAGTTAAATGTCTCAAATTCTAACAAAAGATGTACAGTTAAAAAGAAATGGCATTCTAAGCAAAATCTTTGACAAAAAGTGACTCCGATGGGATTTGATCTAAGTAGGTACCTCTAGAACATCAGCCGAGTAGTCTATCCACTACACCACGAACACTGACGGCATTCCACAGAATAGTTGGGTTAATGGTGTTCCGAGCCCCCACAACCCGGTGACGTCACTGCCGGATGCCTAATCCACGTACGGTTACCGGACGTGTATCCTTTGCGTTTCATAAAAGGTAGGTACAGTTTTGCAAAGAACATTCAATATATTATCGGATAAAATAACTAAACTATTAAGTTAGTTTGATATAATATATTTTGTGTTTGATATCGTTTTCACATGATAGGCCCTATGATATCAGGTGTTAAGTTATGTATTGAATATGAATATTTTCAGCCATTATGACCATTTTGAAGCACAAGGTCTTTTTAAGAAGTTTGCTGGCGCAAGTTGGTAACTTACATCTCTCTAACCAAAAGTAAACCTATCACTGAGCAATAAAAATTGCAATAAGTTAAAGTGATGTTTGTCATAAACTGACACTGAGCTTTTCCACCCAGAAATACCTAACGAGCAATCATTGTTAAAAAATGCTCAGCCTCACTGTGCTCGTTTGTGTTGGTTCCTACCTGGAATGAATACCTAACTAAGTCCTACAATACAAAGATTGGATGCCTAAGTTATGACACATTTTATCAAGTCATGTTAGTTTGGTCATGGTTTGAACAGCACAATTTAAGAGCATTGACAAAACTTAAAAGTTAGAGGAAAATAACTTCTCTCTTTCAGACCTAAGTTTAAACACCTGTTTCAAAATTTTTATCTTGCTATTTTTTACATAGGCTATTTTCTAACGCAGAGGTTACGCATCCGGTAGGACGTGTAACCGGACGTGGATTAGGCATCTGGCAGTTACTGTCATAACCTAACCTAACCAACCAAACTTGCTGATGATGAAAAAATCAAATGAAGGTTAAATTCTGTTAATAAAATAAAATTAGGGCAGCCTATAAATGCCAAAAATTTTAACAAAAGATGTACAGTTAAATGGCATTCAGTTAAAGTTACCGATAAGATTCGAACCAAAGACCACTCGCACAACAGCCAAGCAATCTATCCACTAAGTTACACCACAAACACCGATAGCTGTTCATCGTATCGATGTGGTAAAGGCGTTCCAGGCCCCTCACAACCCAGTGACGTCACTGTCGGTTGCCTAACCCACGTCCGGTTATCCTCTGTGATTTTCTAATGCTAAAGGCTGAGCCTTGAGTTGATTGAACTGATTAAAGTTAAATTAAGTAAAAATATACCATAACTTAAATTGCAACCGATTTGGGGAGGGTGGGGGGTTCAGCAACACACAGACACGACTGCACCCTTAAATAGGTAACAAAGAAACTCCTCAACCAATTAAATTACTGTACTAAATTAGGCTAAGTTACCGTGATTTAAGCTAAGACATGAACAGTAGGAAACCTAAGGAAGATTAGGTAATAAAACTGAACGACATCTCACCTGCAAATCTTATTTTAATAAGATCCAATGGGTGAAGCAATAAAGTTGAAGTTACTCCTCCAGTTATACCTGCTATTAAATGTTCATATTTTACGTGTTTGAAAAGTGCCAGTTTTGAATTAGGGTTTACACTGTTCGTTTTGGCAGACGACATTGTAATAGGTTAGGAATGACCCTGGCTGTCACAATAACAATTTACTCAACTTCACTAAATATAACACAGCGAAAAATTGTTTATCCATTAAAATGATCAATGATGTAAATTAAATAGCAATGGTTGAAGTTAATACAGGAATGATTTCATGAAATGCCAATGTTAAATAGAGAAACTATTGCATCACTCACTCTAACAAAAAGACATGACATTACGGAAAGGCAGAATGGCAGATAGAAAGAATGCACATTGCAGAGAGTGAGTGAGGACTGAGGAAAGATGCAGGCAGAAGGGAGAAAACGAAAAGCGGAGAATCAGAATCCAATCCGAATTGAATAATTCCAAATCCTCCGAAGCTCAAAAACAGCGTGGAGTCTCTTACCTTATAATGGCATAGCCATACTTGGGAATAACGAATAGAAATTCTATCGAATAGCATTAGTCATTAGTTTTTTTGGCTAACTTCTATTTTATTAGTTTGTTTTTAAATTAACTAACTAATAACTTCTATCAGTTAATTTTTACGGGACTAACTAATAACTTCTAACTAGTTAGAATTTTCAACTAACTTTTCCAATTATGCGGAAGCATCTCAAATACTGGTTATTTATTTCACGTGATCAGTGAGGGTTGCGCACGTGAGAGGTCAGTGCCCTTGTAGACAAACAACGCGGGGGGTGGGGAAAGAGAAAGTCAAAGTCCAGTTGCTTTGGAATGCAGTGGGCCTGTGGAAGGGTAGTGACGGCCATTATCAACACCCCAAGCACTGATGGGTGGGAAGGGGAAATGTTTGTTTGGTGATTGATATATCATCTCAAGTGTCAAAACATTGTCTTCAGTTGATGTTCATTATCTGACAAGTTTTATGTTATTTGTTTATGTTGTAGTAATGTAAAATGTGACAATGTTTGATTAAAACACAAGTACCAGGGGACCGATCTTGCTCGAGGTGTTTGATTTGTTCAAGAGGTAAAAAATAGAGCTTACAAGCCTACAAATATTTTCAGTCTTACTACGATTAATTGGACGTAGTTATGCAAAAAGGAACCAACCCACAATTTTTCGGATCTGTTGATATGACAACCAGGTTGTAGAGCTCAACAGGCTTTATTTTCTACAAAAAAGAACCAACCCACAGAAAGATACAATATTTTTTTATAATTATTTAAAATTACAGCTGTTTAGCTTTATAGGTTTTTGCTTTCTACAAAAAAGAATCAAGTCTTTTGGTTCTTATTACAGTTAAAGTAGGAGCAAAAGTGATGGTATCATGTAGCATGGTTCTCGTTTGCAAATAAAGGAATTATTAGCTATATGGCAACCAAAGGCTTTTGGTTCCCTTTTGCAAAAATAAGGAATTATCAGCTTCATGACAACCAAAAGTGCTTGGTTCCTTTTGTCATTTTTTTTCTATAATTAAAAGATTTGAAATCAATGTATCATCTTATACCAAAAATGTACCATGACTTTTATAAAAAGTTGTTTTACGATCCCAATATTGAGGATGACATCGTTGGTTTTGGCGGTGAACCAGATTTTGAATTTGCCGAAGATGAGTGATGATGAACCATTGATTATAGTAACAATTGTACCTGTAATATTAATATACTACAGTAATTTCATACTGTAGTGTTATCGTAAATTAAATTAAAATATAGTTTTAATAAGACAAATTCTTTATTAGGTAGCTTTTACAACAAATGCAAGATCCAGCATGTTTACCAACAAAAACTAAAACAAATAATATTCTAACACCATATGTTTCCAAACACATATGAATAACAACACATCTCCCCTTTAAAGATAGAACCTCCGGGTAGGTTTGAATTGTCTTGTTGATCTTCTTAGATTCGCTAAAGGATTTTTCTGCGATGCCATTGCAGGATGATCGAAAGGTTCTGATCTTCTCAGGTGTTCTGAAGGACTGCTGGTTGAGAGTGATCAGAAGACATAGTAGTGCTAAATCTTTGCAGTGATCTTCTGTTCCTCCTCAAACAACCATCTTGCGTTTGAATTATATAGGATCGAGGTGCATGGTGTTTGTTTAATATAGTTCCTTCTTGATTCCTGTCCTTTATATGGACTTGAACTCCATCAGGTAGAAACGGCAATTCTGTGGCTCTATGTCTTTTGTCAAAATAAATCTTTTGACGATCAGTTCTTGCTTCTTCCTTTTCCCTTAACTTTTCAGCATCTACCAGATAGTGTCTTAGTTGATCGGACATTATTGGAACATAAGTGCGGATCCTTCTCCCGAAAAGTAATTCCGCTGGACTTTTCCCATTTTCTAGAGGGGTTGCTCTTAACATAAGTAGCATTTTGTGGGGATCATCACTTTTTTCTAAGTGGTACTTTAAGTTTTTTGCTTGCGCTTCGATGAAGCCGTTGCTTTGTGGAAATTTTGGGCTTGATATAATCAATTTAAATCCATAATCACGACCAAGATGTTTGAATTATTGACAGCAGTCAAATTGAGAACCACAGTCGGCTCTCACTGTCTCAGGTACACCGTGACGTGCGAAGATGGACTTTGTACATGTCACAATAGTGCCAATTTTTAAGTCATTTAGTCTAGCAATCTCCATAAACCTGGAATAATAGTCTGAGATTAAGAGATACCAGTGACCTTTGCACTTCAGCAAATCGGCACCCACTATCTGCCAAGGTCTGTCCGGATAAGGGGTTGGTATCAGCGGCTCTGCTCTCGTAGCGCGATTTTCTGCACATATCTTGCAATTTTCTACTAGTTCTTTGATTTGTTGAGAAAGACGAGGCCACCACGCAGTCAATTTTGCAAAAGATCTACATTTTTTTATGCCTTGATGTCCTTCATGACATAGTACATTAGCTAGTACATTGGCTCTTAGAGAATTTGGTATTATAATACGATTCTCTATGATACCAGTAGGGCAATACATCCTCTGGAATCTTAGATTTTTCTGGCCAACCTTTCACACAATACTGTGACACATGTTTTAGAGTTTCATCTTTCATAGATTACATTTTTAGAAGGAGCGAAATATGTATCAAATTTTTTAAACTGTTTTGAAACTTTTTCTTTCCTCAGATGTCAAATTAAATGATTCAAATATGCTTTCGGCCTTTTCGCCCATCATATATAGTAAGGTGTTTACCTGATACGGTTCGTCTTCATTGGTGAGCCCAGATACCGCTTGAAAGCGGAAGAAACGGGTTTTCCATTTAGACCAGTTTTCTTCCCTTAAAATCAAAATGTTCTGTGGAAGGAACACTAAAACCATTCATCTTTATGTACTGTATAGCTAAAACAATAAAAAAACCCCGCTACCACCATGTAGTGTTATCGTAAATTAAATTAAAATATAGTTTTAATAAGACAAATACTTTATTAGGTAGCTTTTACAATAAATCAAGATCCAGCATGTTTACCAACAAAACTAAAACAAATAATATTCTAACACCATATGTTTTGAAACACATATGAATAACAATTACACACACTTTTAAAACTATTATAGTATTAAGTAAAGACTTTTTTTGCATTCAAAAGCCGTAGAAGCTATAGAAAGTGTTGAAGTGTCTGTTTTAAATACGGAATATATTTATTACAAAAAAGAACCAAGCTACTTGATCACCTTTTTACCCCAATTTATTATAAAAACAAAAAGGAACCAAGCTACTTGATTACTTTTTTATCCAAATTTACTTTAAAACAAAAAGGAACCATCCCACATTTTGCGTTAAAGATTAAAAACGGACGGTTACTTAAACAAAAAAACTATGCCAAATTAATTTTACAGCATTGTACTTTTACCTAAATATAAAGTATAACTGATATTATAAATAATAGAATTATAAATAAGCGTTAACTTTGGGTCCATAAATCTCAGTTTTAACCCCCTGTGGGATGGTTCCTTTTTGTATAACTACGTCCAATTAAGTAGTAAAGTCAATTCGTTTTTGTTAGACATCCACTTATCCTCAATTTAGTCTACAAAACTATTTAATTTGGACGATCAATCTATAAAATGTCCACAATAAGCTTCAATCCATATAAAACCCATGATACATTAAGTCACTGGGATCGTGGAACGTTGCAACTATAATTACGGGATGGTGTAATAACGCATCAATTTGTGCGGTGCATAGTCAAAAAATACAAATCTCCTTGGCCTTTCCTTTAGATTTTTAGTTCAATGTCAGTGTATATTGTTTTGCAGTAAAACACTTAATGTTTTTGAACAGTCGTAATTATCCCTATGGTTAGTAAGACATCATACAATGCAAATGTATTATACAAGCAATTTTCAATAGCATTGAAATTGGAGGAAATCGTAGGAGCCATTTTTTAAATCATATCTTGCGCAATCTTTACTCATATTATAGTATATATTAGTAACCAAGATGTGACATTAAAAAATACTTTAAAACAACTGCCCAACGAACAACTAATTTCTACTAAAACTAACTTTATTTTCTATCAGTTACTTTTTAAACTAACTAATAACTTCTATCAGTTATTTTTTAAACTACCTAACTTATAACTTCTATCAGTTACTTTTTACGGGACTAACTTATAACTTCTAACTAGTTAGAATTTTTGACTAACTTTCCCAACTATGGGCATAGCTTATAATCGGGAATTTGTTCCATGGCTTAAAATCTTAAAAATGTGGCATAGCTTACAATCAGTTATAAACTATGCCACGCTTTCACGTAAAATTATATGCTATGCAACAATTTCTCTAAAACGTCCGGTGGTGGTGGTAATACCATGTAATACTGAACTTATACTACATAATATTTTATATTGAATTTGTTTACCAACAAAATTAGGCTATAATTTTTAAGCACATACCCATGACACTTTTACTTTTGGGGGAAACTCATGGTGGAAGGAAAAAACATCCTTCCACCATGGGGGAAACAACTATTTCAACCTTAAAATTGCGAAAAACGCTATAATTCAATGATTTTTGGGGCTTGAAAACACAATTTTTTTACTATGTTTTTTTTTTTATTATTTAGTCCATTTCAAACACTTTTTCGGCAAATTATGCCGTTTTTTTTACCCAGAAAACCAGGTTAGAAAAATCTTAAAAATAGCAAAGTTCCATAAATGACCCATGTTTGGTTAAACCAAATTAAATATAATTGAATCTAACTTAATTTAACCTAATCTAACCTATCCTAACCTAATCTAACCTATCCTAACCTAATCCATGCTTTGGCACTTAAAGTGCCAAAAATTACCGA